AAAAAGTCTCTTGGAGCCATGGTCTAAACCCCACAGGAAGTCGGCCATTTTGGACTCAAGTTCGGTTTTTGACCGCATTTTTGCCGTTTACAGCCTTCATATTTGATCTATCTCCTCCTAGGGATTTTGATTGATCGTCTTCAAACTCGGTCAGTCTGTTCATAAGGCATGTCTCATCTAAAGTTATCTAAACGGTGAGTTTTTGAGTATGCTGAAGGGGGGTTAGCAGAGGTCAAAGTTCACCTACTCGCCGTAAAAAAAATAACTGTTATATCTCCTACACAGAAACTCACACAGGTACCAAAATTACTGTTGTTGATCATCATCGGGTCTACTACAATACCCTATGGTCAATGATGACATCACTTAGGCCACGCCCTGAGAACAGGAAGTGTCATGTTTTACTGTCAATGGTCGCTATCTGACCCCTTTGACCTCATCAACATGAAACTGTGCCCAGTCACAGAAGACATGTTGGTGTATTGAGGATTCCAACCGACCAGCTTCGATGGAGCAGGTGGGCGTGGCGGCGTGGCGAAGTGACCTGTAACGCCATTGCCATACGTTTGGCTCTCAATTTTATTTTTAAAGTTTTTTTTTTTTTTATAATTTTGTTTTGTGGGTTAGAGTACAAACATTCATTAATTTTGGCTAGAAATAATACAAACATCGTCATTCAGCAAAACCTTTATTGTGTTACTCAGCTCCGCTGAGTAACACATTCTGGTCAGTGTTGATGGAGTACGACTGGCCCCTGGTGGCGCAATACTGGTACTGCTGGCGCAATACCATTATTGCGCCAGCAGGAGTCACTGGTACTCCATCAATGAGAAAACAAATCAAGTTCGGTTTTTTTCGGACGGCCGTGAAAACGTCTCCAGCGCGTCTGCCGTGAGATTTCCAAAAGGACAGCGATTACATTTAACCTGAAATGTTATATGTAAGCCCTAAGATCATTTTTGTTGGCTTAAAACACGGAGTAAATGTAGCGTTTTGTTAATGACTGTTATTTCCTACCGCAAGTAAATGCATCATTTCCCTCGTCTCTGCCTTAATGGCCAGTCAAGGGCAAAAACAAATTTAAGCAATTTGATTGGTTGAGAAGGACTGCACGTACTGTAGCTGTGCTAATACTTACTGTAAGTACTGGCAGTCGGCAGGAGATCGTACATGGTTGAGGTTCGGCGCATTACGCTGTGGACTGTACATTTTTTTTGCTAAACTGTTGGAGCAGCTAAGTTTTCCTGAACATTATGCCTGGTTTATGGAGCCACAGAACCGGACCACGCTAACGTTTGCTTCGGTTTTGGAGCTGCAGACCCGACGCTCATGAGCCGGAACTGTCTGTTGGAGAGGAGTTTTATTGCCGTTCGTCTTAAAAGTGGTAACTGGAGATGCGGTGAGTGAAGCTCAGTTCACACTACACGATTTTAGAAAAGTCGGCCAATTCTGAAAACGTGAGAGAACACACACTAGCCTATTTAAAATCGTAGGTGTAACGGGTTCGTTCTAAGAGTGTGAGGTTTCACTCGAACACATTCTAATACCAGCTACGAAATACCTTCAAATTAAAATTCTGCACTACCACAGCTGAATTTGGAGTAAACAAACAAACATGGACAACGACGTTGAATTGGTAACTTTAGTTTGCGGACTTATTTTAACCCAAAAAAGACGTAACCAAAAATCAAAGCCTTGGATTAAGAACTGGAGATATCGTAAGCAAGGATTATATTTGTTGCATCGCAACATGGAGGTGTTTTTTTTTCATAAAAAATACTGTTTTCAATGTTTTTAGAAAATCAAATGGGAGTTATCCTTTCTCCCCAACTGACCGCGAAAGCTTAACGTAGCCTATTCCAGCTCCTTTCATTGAAACTTATTATATTGTTTAAAATTGTATTATGACTGCAGAATAAAATCAATGCGCCATTTCAACCAAAGATTGGAATGTGCTTCTCAACCAGATGTACTCTGTGCATAATTTTATAATTATCTTTCATTAAAAGATAAAAAAAAAAGTCGGAGGAACACCACAGAGATTGGATGAATGAGCAAAGATGATTAAAGACAGTCAATATCCCCGATTTTAGATCAAAGCGGTCCCGACGTTCCACCGACTGAACTCGATCAGTCGTAACACACCACACACTACAGGATGATCGGTTAGGATTGTTGGGAGCGACTATCTTACAACGTTCTGAGTTCTTAAGACTGATACATTGGGGTTGTAATATTTACTTGGACCACTTGCTGTGATTAATACCTAATTATTGAGAGAGATTAAACCTGTGCTTTTGTTCTAATGTACTGAAAGTTAACTGTGCTCTCTGAATGTGCATTGCCCTTGGTTTATTACTGATCAGAAGGGTTTATTAAACTGATACATCTTAACCTTACCATTTTCCTGACTCATTTTAGGAAAATGTTAAAGTTGCACTGCATTTAGATCTCAGTTGCAGTTAACATCAAAGCATGTGGGCGTGGCTTAGTGTAAAACTTTCACTATTTGCCATGAAACATAAACATTAAAAAACTTCCAAATGCAAGATCACAGCTGCATCACACTTCCCGTGTTTCTCTATAGAACAATCCTGAACACATTTCCATGGTCACTTGATGAAATCACCCTAGCCCCGCCCACTTTTCAAAGGCAATCACCAGTTTTTTCTCCTGTGAGTTTTACTGTTATTCTATCATATATGGGTTTCATCATGTGAATACTGACTTAAAACGACAAGATGATGAACTCTGTGAATGCTGGCTGCTGACCAAACCGCATTGGGGTGTAGAAATGGCGAACTGCAGTTCTTCACCATGTGCATATGATAGGCTCTAAATGATACGTTGATCATCCGACTGGCGCCAAATTGGATATGTATGACCTTTGTTGACCTCTAAACACCCCAACAACATTGAAATGTATTTTGACTCCACTGCGCCAACTACATTAATACGCCAGCTATATCTCCTCGCTATATCAACGAATCTGCACCACATTTTTTGTGCGTCGTCAGGAAGTGCCGCCGAACGTACCGAACGTACCGATGCGTACCGCCTGGTGGACGGGCGCGGAAACCGCGCAACGACTTCTGTGTTAGAACGTGGGGAGCGTTGATGGAAACGGAGCAACAGTTTCCGCGGTGCGGGCGGAGGTGCTAAAAACTGCTGAGAGTATCTGTGGTGGCTGGCGTCGGGCGGCGGTTGCTAGTACCCCGCGGTGGCAATAGGCCGGAGCGGCGCTTGGCTGCGAGGGCCGTTCGAGGCTGCTTGCAGCTTTAATTATGTTTTTACTTTTAAAATACTCTTACAATTTAAATGTTTTGCTATTACATTCAGAGTTATAATATTATGTACTGCGGTCATACAGAAATGATGTGGAGAGGTTTTCTAGTCCTCAGTGAGGCTCTGGTGAAATGTTGTTAAATGGTTAACGGAGGAGCGAGGTTGTCATAACTTCCTGAAGGCGGAATTTCAGAAAGAGCGGGAGTTTCTTAAAGAGACAGTGACCCAATTTCAAGGCATTAGAGCCTGGTCTCGTTTTTCCAGAGTTGTATTTAACATTTTTATAACAACTGAATAATTACTTGACTATGCTATAAAATGGCATTATGCAGCTGGAAAACACATAATACTGCTGTAATATGTTGATTAATTTATCAAATTAAACAAATTTAAATAAAGTAAGTTTGACAAACTTCATTCTGTTACTGCATGACCTTTTCTTTCAACTTCTAGCTGCATTTTCTTATTTTCAGATGGGATAAATTTTCCTTTTTCTGAAGATATGAAAGCTTGAGATTTTATTTTATGATCCAAAAATGCATTGAATAAATCTGCGTTTGTTGCACAGTATGGAAAGGTTTTGGGGGTATTATAATACTCTGCCGATGACTACACGCACTTTGGTTCGTGAGGCTGTACTCTTTCAGGGCTTTAAAAGTTTAGGCTCCCAAAGGCGCAGTATTTATTATTAAGATGACAAAGAATGTCAGCTTAAACTGAAGCAAACATTTGCAGACAGCATCATTCTGCAGGCATTTTGTTCTGTTGACAGAGAGTCGGTGAGAAGACAAAGCTCACTGATTTGGTGCCATCAGCAGCTGAGCTCAGACAGGTGGCCATCGTGCTCACCACAAGCACAGAGCGCATTTCACAGAACACTAAATGTAAGGCACAACTGTTTGCCAGCGTGTTTACTTGAGACGAAGCTGCATTTGGATAAAAACGACTTAGAAAAGGAAATGATCAAGCAGCAGGTAGATTACTCTGTGAGTGTAGGCTTAACATGTATGATTGTGTCTGAACGTACATGAAATTGTGCAAAAATATTAACCAGTTACCACTAAAAACTTTCTTTAAACCGTTTTTCTTCATTCATCCCTATTTTATCTAGTTTTTCTTTCTCCTGTTTCGGTTCTCTTTGTAAGCAGTATTGCAGGAAGACGGTTTTAACTACAGGGATACACTTTAGCAACAGCTTCAGCTGAACCCCATGCTGCTATAGCGTGTTAGCTTCCCCTAAACTCCATGCTAGTATAGCGCTTCAATGTTAGCTTCCACTAAACTCTGTTGGTATAGCACATTAGCATTAGCTTCCACCAAGTACTTTAGCTTCCACTAAACTCCATGTTGGTAAAGTGTTTTAGCATTAGCTTCCACTAATGTTATTCCACATTAGCACTTGGAGGAAGAAAACGTTTTTCAATACTTCTTTACGAAGTAAAGTGTAGAAGAAGAGGCTGGTTTTGAACTCTTTATGTTAAAGAGCTAAAGGCCCTTGATGGGTTGACACTACAGGAAGTAAAGAGCATCCCTGGCGGTGTGAATATGTGAAACATGTCAGTTGTGTAAGTCAATCCAGATGTCTTTGTTCATCACCTTATTTGTCTCTATGGTGGTTTATTCTGTTGGGCTTATTGTGAACTGCTTAATGTGTAGATTATGTAATCTGAACATAATTCAGATTACATACTGACTTCTCTGCTTTGTCCTTCCAGGTCCTCGACGCCCCGGCGGCCATCTGCCGCTACCTCGACGACAACAGCTGCTCTGCCCTCATCATCCTGGGCTTCGTGATGATGTCGCCCCTCGTAGTCCTGGCGGCGGCGGTTTTCTGCGGTTTGCTGAGGAAGTTCCAGCTCCTTCTGTTCCTCCAGCCGCTGTCCAGGGCTCGGTACCGAGGGAGGCTGCTGGACTGGGTGGGAAGAGTCCAGGCCTGGGTGTGACTGGCTCTCCAGGTTGAGGTTGAATGGCAAACAGAGTGAGAGAGGACAGTGACATATTCAATTTCCAGTGTAAACAATGAATAGAATAGATGTCAGCTTTAAATAAGCAATCAGTCTGATTGTTTTCACCTAGTGTCAGTAGTTACATTCTTTTGAATATTAGTTCTGTTTAAAACATGTTATTTTGTTCCTGTCTTTCAGATTATTTCTCAGTGTTTGCACATGTAGAGCCAATTTGAGATGTTTTTAGATGTGCTCAACTCTTGAAACTCAGACATTTGCAAGCTTTTTTTTTAGTAATTAACTGAAATTAATCCCAAAATAGAATTTTTTCTTGCAAATTTTTGACTTTTCCAGCTCAGAAAAGTTTTTGTTTTTCCTAGAAATTTTTTTTTTGGATTAATATAAAACATTTCTTGGCAGAAATTTATTTATTTATTCCCTGTTCACGCTGGCCCAAATACTCTGTACAAAGGTAAAGTTATAAATCCCACTATTTAAAAAAAAAAAACCTGTCAGTTCATCTATTAGTAGCAGTAAAACTTCTGATGTTTTTAATGGTTGCATGTTCGTATGTAAAACATTAAAGGTAACAACTTTTTCTGTGTCAGTTCCTATTTTCTGTCTTTTTTTTTTTTTAAATGCACCACAGTCTGCCTCATAATGGCATAATTTAGTTCCACTTCTAGAAAAAGAATATAAACCTATAAACAAATGTTGGGAAGGAAGCAGCGGTTCAATCTGGTTTGTTGTTTGGTGCTTCTGTTCAGGGTTGTCAATAAAAACAAACATATTCTGATCTTCCCTCCATCAATAAAAACACAAATGCACAAACAGTGAGCTTGCAGCAGAACGACTAGACTTAGTGTTTGAACGACAGGACTCAAAAATCTTTGAACAGAGAACTGAGCCTCAATGCAGGATTTTCTCTTCAAAAAAGAGCCAGAAACTCTGATGTGGCCAGACAAGCGCTGTAACGATGATGAGGCGAATCATCTCCACTTGTCATGCAGTTGATGAAAAAGTCATTTTCACTTTCCCATCATTTCCAGATGCTTTTTCAATTTTGTGCTCGTTGGATGCTGATGAGCTGTAGAAGTGAGATAAACGTCCTGATTATCCTTCCTATCATCTGTTGAAAGTAATGTGCCTCATTTTCTTTCTTTTTTTGTTGGATTCATCTGTTTTCTCACTGTGTGGCAGCTTTTTAAAAAACATTTTTGCAATGAAAATATTAAATAAAAGTTTCTAAAATGATCCATTGTGACTGAGATGAACCTGACTGACAATCAGGTATTAACCCTTTGCATGTGGCGCCTCGCTGTTCAGAACTCGGTCCGCTCCGCCATGATGGGCGTCTGGTAGCTTAATATTGCTTGGATCTGAATTTGTTGCACGATGTTAATTAGAGTCAATGTTGCCTTGTAATTTTTAGATTTAGTGATTATAATTTAATGTCTTGTTTTGTCACTGCGTCATCTGTTTACAATGCAACCTTAGCTGCATTAATTAGAGCTTTTTATTTTTTAATGCTTTAGGAACTTGGAAATTCCTTTTTTCCACCATTTGTCTGTTTTCCAAACTTGTCAAGTGAGAAACTTTGAGGTCTTCAAGTAAATTATAACATTTTATGCTTTGTGCTGTGAACTATGAGAGGGTGTGCACATGTGTGTGCGTGTGTTAACCTGTTGATCTATCTGGAATGAAACCCGACTCTCACCCAGGACTGGCAGCAGCCATTTCCACTCAAACCCATTTTGAATATAAATAATAACATGGACAGCAGCAGCTTTCTTGACTCTGGATGACTCGCATGCTGGGCCTGAGTTGATGTTCAGCTTGTGACTAAAGCCTGGCCTGCTTCACTGAGGCGGACAGGAAAACTGAAATGGATTTTTTTGTCAAGAGGGAAATGTTGGATAATCATTTGTGGCTCTGCTGCTGCAAATGATGTTAAGTACTTGAAAATTAGGCCAGATGCAGAACATGGGAGTGAAAATCCAGAGCAGCTCTGAAACAAACAACTAAAACCTCCTACACTGGTCTGAAAATACAACATAGTATGAAAAAGAACAACAGCAATCAGAAGAATGAGAATGTAATGAACACTTTACAGTGGTTTAATGTCATTTGGTCAAGTGACATTTATTTAAAGCTTTTATTTTACATGTTGCCATCAAACTAAGACAACATATCAGTGTGTTTGTGACCTATATTAGTTTAGTTGTGAACAAACCAGCAGCTGCAACCAAACTGTGATGGTTTTGGAGTTGATGGAGGACTAAATAAAGAATTTATGGAATAAAGGAGAAAACTGACAATACTCCAGAGACAGTGATGAACCAGGATGTCTGGGAGTCGGTTTTTGTTAAAAGCAGAACCTGGAGTGAAGTCAAAGAAACTAATCAATCAACCAATCAATCAATCAATCAATCAATCAATCAATCAATCAATCAATCAATCAATCAATAAATCAAATTTTATTTGTATAGCACATTTCAGCAACAAGGCATTTCAAAGTGCTTTACATCAAAAACACAAAACACAAAGTCATGCAACATAGAATGAAGACTAGCCTCAGTCCGGTTCTTCACTTAGGATTCTAATTCCGAGGACAGAAAGTTTTACGCACAGAGAGAGATGAGCACCACTCACTCTTGTGACTAAAAGGTTGATAACTGAATAAAAATCATATTATTACAGCAAATAAACAGAAAAAGAAGAAAAAACATACTGACTCAGAACAGAAATCCCAGACACCACCAAATTCAAGCCATGTGATCATGAAACGCTGCTTCCTGGGACACAATGAGGTTTGCAGTTGTCACAGTAAGAAAATGTTGCATGAATCAGAGAATTGAATCAAATTACTTCAGAAAGTAACTGGGAATGAAAACAGATGTTATGTGCTTTCATGTTTTCCTCTCAACTCGATCATTCTTTGCTTTGCTTGCACATGTCTGGACCCACAATGGCTTAGAAAATTTACTTGAACTGGTCAAAACTTCACATCATAGATTGGATTTATAAGAGAAACCCAGTTTTCTCCCACAGTTGAGTCTCATAAATTAACTGTTTTTATTAGCTTTGTTTAGACACTACAAATTAACTGAATACTTATTCAGCACTGCTTTTTTGTTACAACAAAAGGTAGAACAGAACCAGCCTTTTATTTCTATTTGTAGGACTCAAAATTAAGATATTTTTTTAAAAGCGCATAGATTCCAATCCATGACAGAAAAAACAGCTCTGAAAACGTGTCACTGGTTCTGTTCATGTCATTCTTTGAGGAAATTCAATGCTAATATTGCAGGGGGGAAAAAGACAGACATTCAAAAATGTGCATGTTAATTTATCTATATTTAAAAACATTAATTTGTTGGTTTTAATTGTTAATCAAAGTTATTAAGAGCCAAATGTCCAAAAAAAGCTATTAAAGAAGTTATTAAAGAACTTTTTGATTTTCTTGAATTAACTTTAGCTTGAGTTTCAAAAGCTTCACTGCTGCAAAAAATATTGAAATTTTAAAGCTTCCGAACAAAATTACAACCTCATTTCCATTGCTGTAATTTCACACAGACTTGCACTGATTTGTCTCTATTACACTAGAGGTTTTATGTTCACATAATTACATTATTAGAGGGAAAAAAATGATTATGTGTAATTTATAGCTCTGAGAGAAAAAGAACATGTTCTACATCAATCAATTGGTCTTTCATCAGACTTCTGCAGCAAACAGAACAAAAGCCTCCCCAAAGAAAAGACGCTGCAGTTTAATTGCAGGAAGAAAGAAAATTGTTCAGCTTTGTGAAATTTCTCTCAGTTCTCCACTGCCTGATAAAAGACACTGGTATGTTTCCTAACCCTGCTCCAAAGAACAAATAATAATAATAAGTTGTCTTTGAGAAGCAGTCGAGGCCCAAATAGAAATATAAAACCATAAAAATCGGAATTTTGTGTGTTGTTAAATTATTAAAATGTTACGATGTGATTTAAGTGCTGGATGCTAAACTGGGGCAGGATTTAAATTTGCACATTTACCAGAAGAGTTCCTGTTTATGTCAGGGTGTCTCTCATTAAATTAAATAATGAAACAGGACATATCAAATAAAATGTGTTTGCTTGCTGCTGGACATGATGAGCGAGATGCAACAATCGCTAACAGGAGGCCAGTTTGCTTTACAAAAAGGCTTCCAATCCCTTTGCTTTTCATTGTGAAAATGTTGGCTCCGCTCTAAACTGATTGTGCTGTTGCTCTAAAACAATAGAGGAAAGGAAAACACATTTACAGGCAGTAAAAACCCAGATGTAATGATTCTTCACCCTCTCTCTCTTTGCCAGCAGCTGCTCCCTGAAGCAACCTTGTAGAAACAACCAGTCCTGAGTGTCATTGCTCTCTGACTCCAATTTCTCTTTTGCACACTCACCCTTACTTACCCTCAATGGAAAATCGCAGGCTTTTTTCTACTTTCCTTTGTACTTGGTGTCCTTCCACAGCTGCTTGTCCCTCACATGCTTCTTTCTATCATTATCTTTTTTCCTGCTATCAAAAAAGAGAGGGACAATTTCTTCACAAACTCTAAAGTTTCCCAGATATTTGTTTTCTCCTCCTTTTAACTGTTTGCCAAATATTGCAGATTTTCAACATCTGATGGAGATTCAGTTTCCCATTTTGCTGCCAAAATGGCTTCCAACAAAATGATACAATAGCTTTTCGACAGATAAATTGCCTTCCAATAGAGATTGATCGATTACAATTAAAAGCACTGCTGGGGAAATTTCAGTGTTCCGATTTTCCAGAAACACTGAAAAAGAAGAAGCAGGTATGTATAGATCAGACAGAGCAATAATTGTGATCAGTTCAACAATATTTATTTTGTTAGGTCAGATTCTATTCCTACTGTGAAATGAAAGCAATTCCATCTGAAAAAAATACAATAAAATGTGTCAGTATGCTGCTACGTTATTTGAAATTCATGCGGTGCCATCAGGGTTTTTTCTGCATCCAGAGGGTCCAACTAACATGACTCCACCTGTCGAGGGTGTTTGTCAGCAACTGACCAATCAGCAGTCGCTATTTGTCCTGAAGGCCACGCCCTTATATGGAGGAACTGAACCTCAGACAACATTCATCATGGCTCTGCTAACAAGCTGCAACCATAACGAGTTTGAGGAAAATGATAGGAAATTATGGTCTAGTGTTGTCAGTGGGGAACTTGGAATCCCAAAAGTCATTATTCAAAATACAATTTATTACATTTCCAAAATCCAAACGGAGTATGGAATAATAATAATATTCCAGACTCTGCACGAAAGTAACTGATAGTGAACATCCCATTATTTATCACAACCACGCTTACAAGGTAGTCATGCTTGATTTTACATATATAAATCCCAGTGGTATCTCTATGGCAGCATGAAAACATGTGCTGCAGTAACTGCGGTATTTACATTTAAGCTCATTTTTATGTTAATGTCGTGCCAGAGACGACATCACATCAAATATGGGGTTAAAAGTGTTAAGAAAACCATATTAAGACTCCCAGCAGTGGTCCTAAAGCTCGATGTCCTGCATGTTTTGTGTGAGCCCCTTTTCCAGCACAGCTGATT